GATTTCTTTGAGTCAAGCAACAAATGCAAGTGTCTGTCTGCGTATTTATTTGTTTGGGTGGTTTTTACAGCCCAAATCCAGTGGCTTTGTAGCGATTTTAATGCAAGATTTTCCACACCAGAGTCTCTAATACTGCATAGCATACACACATACATGCAGTCACATACTCACATGGCAGCTGGTATGTGGCCGCACGCATGTTACATACAAAGTAATTGTTGTTCCTTCGCCAGTGAGATTTTCCCAACTTTGCGTTATTCATCATCAGTTCTAAATAAGTTTCTGTTACACAGAGAATTCAGGAGCTAAGGAGGAAGTTCAGTATATTCAAATGTTCAGTATAGCGGTGGTTGTTATAGCAATGTTCCACTGTAGATCAAAAACGTTATGTCTATAATTTCTCGCAAAGTTAGTCTTAGTGACTTCAAAATAAACAAACTACATAGAACTAAACACTAACGGCTACACTTGACTCATTACACTACAGAATAAGTAGTGTCCAGATAACATGGTAATACCAAGAGAAACACACATCCACTCTCATCTCATGCTCGGAACAAGAAGGGAAATCACAGATATGGAGCAACTCAGCATTGTTGGAGATTAGAGTTGCAGCTGAACAAAGCTATGCAAAGCCTAAAAATGCCCAACAGCAAAGAGGGAAAGGCACAGCAGTACATAATGTTTGGGTATAATCAGCAAATCCCCCTCTGAACCACTCACTGCCGGGTGGATTTTTCTTGAGCAAGACAAGATGCCGGCTAATTTTCAAGATTTTTCGTTTTCAAAGTTCTCCAAAAATTCATCATTTCATTTAATGGCCATTAATACCAAAATGAAGGACTCTTTGGGCACTATTCTAAAGCTGACAGGTAAAATTCATTGACTCCTGAATATTTAAGCCAGGCCTGCAGCCTTGTAAAAAGAGCCCAGATTGTGCGGTGTTACATAGGATTCTTTTGTTCCCGAAACCGGCACAGTGCACTGCTGACCTCTTTTCAATAGGGGCCACATTAGCGTGCAGCGGTGCTGTGTGGCTCATCGCTGCGGTGGTGAAGAGCATTTGTCCCTGGTGGTAATCCGCTCACTCTAAATGCCTCAAACCGTGGTATACTGTTTCAAAACAAGGCTGGATTTTCTCAACTATTGAGAGCGAAAAAATGTCGGTAATGCCCAGCAGCTCAGTCTTTTGTGCTGAGCACGGTCTTTTGTTATAAGGCCCAACTCTTTTGTCCCAGTTCTGGGCTCCCCGGCTCTGCATATAAAGCCTATGTACTCGAAAACGGGTCGCCCGGCAGGAAGTGGTTAAAAACTGAAAGTTATGCAGACAGCATCCTTCCTCATCAGACGAGGGGCGGCTGTGTCCATTCTCCAATACCCTAAGCTTAGGTGCGTGGAAACAAAAATACAATGAAAGCTGGCACACCTATAGAGCAACATCGTTTGAATTCATAGACTTGAACAGACACAAGACAAAAACATTTCATTCACTGCCTCATTATAAATATCTGCACGCAAATTGTTTATATTTTAATGGTGTACCTGGCAGTGTAAGGGAAAGCATCATCTGGCACAAATGTACCCTACTTAATGATACTTTTCATTTGTCAAATAATGAATAAGTTTATGCAGAGTACTGTGTACGTAAGCTGACATGTAAATATGTTTGTGCCCACATATCATGAGGAAAAACCTAAGTAAAAAGGCATGTAATGCTTTAAGTATGCAATTATTTGTTCTGTTAACTATTGTTTCTTAGAAAGTAAAGAAAAAGAAGGAAAACTAGACTAAAGCAATGAATTTACAAGGACTTTACATGTACCTGTCATCCCTGCCTAGGTTCCTACTGGCTATCCTTGAGACCTCCATGTTGACCTCACAAACAAGACCACTCCATCCTGATGACCTAAGAAGATTACAGATCAAGGATACTACATGCAGTGATAATTAATTGATATGAAATTACCTCTGGTACGCCTGCCACGATTGCCGACAAAGTAATGAGGCATTTTCAGAGACAACAGACCTAAAGGCTCATGTTTACATTACATACCAACCATTTTAGCCATAATAAGGCCAGGGCATGCAAGAGTTGAGACTTTCAACGAGAGTGGTGCACTGAATGTGAACAAGTCAAAACATTAGTTAACCCTGCTTGCTGTACACTGATAATTATGCATTTCCAACAGATTGCAAAGAAATGTCCCAACTGCAATCTTTGAATCTGAGAATGCAATCTGTGCAAATTTGGTAGCCACACAGCAACTATACTTAGAGCAAGTCTGCTTTATTTACCAACGGTCTTTCTTCACCTCAGCGTTTAACTCTGTTACTGTACATGTACATTATTGATAGAAAGATGCCAGATTATTCAATAATAACTGCAAAGTTTTTGAAATAGTTTTTAATTGTGGGATAAAACTTTGGCATGGCTTTGAATCAGTAAACTAGAATTGATCATCCGTGCACAATAAGAGCAGTCTATGATCTGCAATAACAGACGTAAAACCATCGTGCTTTGCTTACATGTTTGCTATCCTATGGGGGACTTGATCGATCATGTCTCACTAACTGACATAGGAAAGTGCTCATGTAAACAAAGCAAAACATCATTAAGTTACAGGTTTATTGCATCAATGTCACCCCTACCTAAGTGAAATCTTTGCAGGCTTCATATCACCATAGAATAAAGATTGCAGACCCACAAATAAAAATTGTTCTCACTGATCTTGTCAGTACATGTAATATCGAAATGAAAACATATGCAGCGTATCCTACTTACTTGAATTTTGTACGATGTCTGGAATAGCCAGCTAGTTGTTCATCAGCTCCCATGCCAACCAGTACAACCTGGCATGAGTAAAGTAAAAGAAAGGAAAAGAGGTCATACAGAGAATGGATGTGAATGATGCAAAGGACAGGACATGAAAAGGCCAAACTTTTTCACTTTCCAGACCATGGATCCCCATACATGTTGAGAAGCCAAATGGCAAAAAAAGTTATTCAAAATTGTGTAATTCGACCACCAGAATTAGAAGCCATTACTGCGGTGGCACAACACTCGTGGACAGGTGGTACGCGCGCGTTACATGCCTCTTCGACCAATAGGGTGTCGTGATTTGCCAAGTGCACGGGCACGTCAAGCTGAAGAATGTACGTGTGAGTGCAGTGCCACCGCAGTTATGTTGCCTAATCGGATTAGTCTATATCCAATTTTAATTCAATTTTTTATACCAAACCTGTGCTTATTACAATGTCACAATTGCACAAAATCATATTATGAAATTTCCAACCTACAATGTCCCCACTCAGCCAGAAAAGCGGCAATTTCTCTTCAGTTTTTGCCATGTAGCAAGTTCCATTGTTTAGAGACCAAATAAGAATGTAAAGTTGCTGACTTCAGTTTGAAAGTGACTTTTAGTTTTAGTCTATCCTGTGACATTGCCTCCTTATGAAACTTCTGTGTGTGGCATAACCTCCAATCCTGTCATCCATAGTGTTGGGCGATTCCACCATTTTTGGAATCGTTTCCGATTCCGTCCAGGAATCGTGATTCCACTCGGAATCGGCTCCAATTTTTACATGTGCAAATGCCATGTTGAGTATAGCCGAGATTACATGCAAAATGCACTTGTAAGCTGTTTCCTGAACACTCGTGTCATTAAAATTTATCCCCTTTCATTGCCTTGGAAACATGAAAGATTTATTATCATTACAGAGTTTTAAATCAGAAATTTTAACTTGATGGAAGCACATCATTTACGGGAAAAGATTATCAATCTTCGTAGCCTGCCGGCTTTCAAGTTTTCCAGTTTATATAGAAGTGACCATGAGTTCTAGAATGCATAATTGACAAAAAAGAAACATAAGGTACATGAATTTATTTTCATCCCGCTAAAAACGTACTGAAGAAATATTTTTTTTCTTTACGTCCCAAAAAATGTGACCTTATTCCAACAACGCTGAACTATGATAGTTTTCTCGATCTTTTGATTGTAAATTCCATCAAAAACTTGCGTCAGCGGCATGCTCGTGGAATCGCTGGTGAACATGCCTAAAGCTACATTCTTCTTATGTGTATGCCTGCTACCAGCTTCAACACGAGGCCGTAGTCTTGTTCCAAGGCAGAGATGGAAAATTTCGAGAACTGCTCATTTGACCTTCAATTCACTCAACAGGTTGAGTAGAATTTCTCTTCTTTATGGCAAAAATGAAGGATGAAAAGTAGTCAAAGATTTGTGGTTTGGCAGAGTGAATGATGGTAATCATGGTGCATTTCTCATAGACTCAAACACAAAGCATCTGCAAAGAAATGCGTGCAGTCGGCCCACAGCCACAGGTCCGTACGTCCGTGCACCAACGGAGAGCGGTCGATGCATGCAGGACTCTTAGAAACATGCATGAATTTGAACACCGATCTCCACCTGGGCCGATGCCATTGCCGATCTCACCAGCTTCTCTTTCTTATGAATGGTTTAAGTTTAGTTGGCAAACCCTGGAAATGTTTGACTTTAAATAGCTTCAGATCGCTGATTTTATGTCAAGATTTGTGGGATTTGGGGAATTTTCAAATGCTTCAACAGTTACTTGCATTTGGAGTATTTCATGGTAAAGAAAGAATTGATATCAGGCAAAGGGCTGCACTGTTCAGGTTTTTTCTTTCAGTTCTGAGCAAATTTTTGTAATATGTGACGAAGTAGGCCTACTTTTTCCACCACAGTTTGCTTCGATCTTGAAGATTAAAACGCGATGTTGGTCCAGCGGAAGATTTTTTGGAGGGAAGTAATAAACACTCCAAGGAATGAGCTTCTAATTGGTGTCGATCCTTCAGATGTTACAATTGAGTTTCCAAAAAGAAATAGAGGGTAGTCAGCGACAAGAAATGTTATTGCAAGGAATTTAGTGTGTGGGAGAAACACCGATGTACATGTACGTGTAGTTTTCATCGCTCACAATGTAGCACCCAAATGCTCAGCATGATAAGCCAACAGTGGGCCATCCGCTGCAGACAAATGGGTCGGAGTACTGCACGGTGCCGCTGCAATTCTGCAAAGCATGTGGGCTATGTCTCGTCACAGACTTCAGTTTTTGGCAACAAAAGTAAAGCCACACGGTTTAGGTTCCTTGATTTGGCATAAAACCACACATTTTTCCAAAAATCGACAGACCATTTTATATGGCAGTCTTTTGGAATCGCTGGACTGTTCCTGGAATCAGATCTCAAGGTGATGGAATCGGCAGTGGCGTGGATTCGATTCCTCAAAAAAGTGGAATCATGACTCTGATTCTAAATTTGGGATCGATTCTACCCGATTCCAGCGTGGATTTGCCCAAGCCTGGTCATCCAGCGCATTCAGAGTGTGCCTCTCTCCAATTGTGTTGAGCTAGTTTCATAAGTTTACTTTTCAAAAATAGCTTGACAGCGTAACATGAAGATTTTAATGATCAGTTCTGCAGGAACAATTGTGAGCCGCTATGTGTGAAAACACTGAATGAATCAAAGAGATGTTAATGATCTTATGTCACGACAAAGCTACATGTGTACCACAAACCTAGGCAATGACCAATTCTCACTTTGACTATGTACCCCGGCAGGCCTACATTGTTTTGTTTTTATTTCTTGAGTTTTTTAATTCAGTACTGCTCCAGCACTTGAGCACGGACTGAGTGTTTTCAGTGTTATGCACAAAAACGTTATCCACTCTCCAGTAAGAGGGAGTAAAAATCCTGTTTGTGAACGATGTTAACGTGCTACTTTTCACTATTTGGGACCCAATTCTCATGTTCATGAGAACAGGGTTTCAGAGCAAGAAATTAGACAAAAAAAATGCTCGGACAAAATGTCATAACACAATCAATTTTGTTCTGCCATTACCAGCTTTTGATCTGCCATATTACATATAAGGTAGAGTTGTAACGTGCAGTGTCAGGGGTCAAAATTAACTTTTTGTTTACTGGTCTTACCTCAACCGCACACACAGCCACATTGAGCAATCCTTGTTTAGGGCGCAGGCTGCAGTGATTTTTTTCCCCCCAATTGGACAGGCCATGTCATAAATTTGCTTGCTTGAATTGAATCAACAGAATCCACGATTATTAAGTTATTTAGGCCTACTGCACACATACAGTCTTTGATTAGGCCAAAAAAAAAACCAGTTGTGCTAATAAATATGCATGCCTTCAAAAATTGGGTCGGTAGGTTGGACCTATTTTTTTTGTTTGGGGGCAATTTTGTGCTGATTGAATAGCATCAGTTCAGACGACAGCCTCCAAAAGTATCTCAAAAAGTGATGAGCACCTGTCTTAACCTACGTAAAAATTTCTACATATGGCAATTCACACAATCACGGCAATCATGATGGCAAACTGGCCAACAATGTCTGTGTATCGCATGGTAAGCGTGCGTGATGCATCTAAACCAGCGGGCGCTAAACCTTGTGCCATGAGCAGAACAGCCTCAAATTACACTCATGAACACAGCAAATACAGACATAAATAAGAGACCAAGTTCTGTGAATTAACTTGCAGAAAACCTCTTGCAACATAACATAGATGTCTTTCCGGCCTGCAGCCTTTTGCATTTGCGACATGTACGGCCGATGAAGAGTGTTTATGTACAGTACATTCAGTACATGTACAGTACAGACTGGTACTGGTTGCTACATTTCCATCAAGCATTCTTTTGCATGGGTGCAGTGCGGCGGGAACAAGAGCAACTTTGTTTAATGCATAGAGCTTCGCGCACGTGTTTTCACCACTGTGACCGTGAAACGTGAACGTGAGGATGTGCGATGAAGTACGGGGCGATTTCATGTCTGTGCAAGTAAAGTATACATAGACGCATGGCGCCGGGTGACACGGGCCAGTGATGAGCGAGCAGCCCTGATGAATGCCTTGGGCATAATTAACGTAATTCTAACACAAAAACTAATAATAAATCAGATGCCATAATCCCACATATTGTGTTGATATTTTAAGAGCTGTTATTGATATGTTGGTCGGACAATTTGTCCGAGCATCTTTGATTTTGTTGGGAAAAACACAATAAGTGCTTGGAAAATGTCCGATGTCCGACCGTAATTTCATGCTCTGGGGTTTTGAATTTGCCCAAGGGGTCAATGTAAGTCTATTAACCTTCGCAGGGCTTTCATATGGTTGCTGTGCAATGCCCGTCTCAGTGGTCAGAAGACCTTGTCCTCTTGCAGCAAACCAGATAGCACAGCCAATGCTGTCATCCATCACAGACTGCAGTGGATAGATAAGATCACTGACTCTCTCTCCTCTATGTGAAAGGGAAAATGAGAGCAGGAAAATCACACAGAAAATTGAAAGAATCATGAGAACTTTTTTCTTTTTTATACACACTGGCTGGTTAGTAAACCAAGCCTGCCAGCCACAGTTCACCATGAAAAATATTACTGGCAAGCAAAGTCAAAGCCAAACAAAAAGACCTTGGGGTGGGCATGGGTGCTGTTCCCCCATGCCCACTCTCCCACCTTAGTTAGTATGACACCATTTAAAAGTCTGCATAAAAAGACAAAAACGGCACAGATAACTGAAGACCAAGACTAAGCAATAGATTCCAGTGATCTCCACAATGCCTGAAGGGTTCAATTCTCAGATAATTCTGCTCATTTGATGCTAATGTTCCATAAAACGAATGGTCAAACTGACAGAGCAATATGCAAACCTCATTTTCCGAAGTTCCTCAAATGTCACATTCACCTGGTGAAAAAGAAAAAAAAATTACTTCATCATTACGGTCTTTTTCATGCAAAAAGTTTTCTACAAAAATGTACCATGGCAGCTGGTACAGAGTACCAAATGTCACAGGCACAATTATGTAAGCAAAAAGCATTAGAGCAAGAATCAACACGTGAACCAACACGCTTGTACTCCAGTCATTAGCACTGCATCTTCTGCTTCACAGTGACGTCACACTTCCGCACTCTATAAGACAAGACCAAAGAGGGCTTCAGTGATAGTTGCTGTTTCTTATAAATATATAAGGCAGAGAGGGAAAGGTCACATGACGACATTATCATATTCTTCAGAAGTGGTGCACATTTACTTAAAGGTGCTTATAACACCACTGTATTCAAACCAGGTTATGTATTGCAAAGTTTAACACGAGCAATAATTATTGGTAGGATCAATTGGTTTGATCGAATCTGTCTCTTTGGAGACAATGCATTAATCAGCAAGATTAACTTCATCAAAGCTGACCTTGCTTCCCAATTTATATGACAAAGTGATGTATGGCACTGATCTTAATTACATTTCCATATAGCTTGATTTTCTTAAGCTGAAATTTTTGGAAGAGGCCAGTTCACTGTTTTTAAGCAACAGCAAAGTTTAATATTTTGTATTTGCTTTCCTGATTAAACAACATCAACACTATATCACTGGAACTTCCTAATTGCATACATGTAAATAATACATGTAGGTAAACTGAAATATCTGACTCTTGTGATGAGTCTTGTAATAGGAAAAAAATGCCATGTGTAAATGTACAAATTAGAGTGTCACAGCTAGGCTAATGTGATTTAAGCTGCAACTGGAAAGAAAGATCACATTGCAAAAAGCCCAATGATTACAAGGAGGACAACTGTTCTATGCACACAGTTAAAAAGATAATTCAATTCTAACTTCCAATTAATCCCAATAAATTATTCACTTGCAGAATTCAAATTCACAAGAGAATGTAATTTAGCAACAGAGTATCGGAATGTGACGTCACTGTGAACCAGAAAGTGCAGTGCAAATGAATGGAGTACGCGCGCGTGTTGGTTCACGTGCTGGTATTCGCGCTAATGCCTTTTACACACTAATTGTGCGCGTGCACGTATTCACTTCGGTACTCTATATCAGTTATCAAATAAACACCCTAGGTACCGGTACCAGGATTGCTCTTAATGTTGAATACCTTTCAAATATTATGATTAAAATAAACTCTGATATCAACAAATAATCTCAATTCTAGCACTTTTTGCATCCTTAATTTTTTTTCTTTTTGAAATAAAACAATTTTTCTATATTCAATGAAATAAATCACACCATGACATAAAGCAGTCAATGTTTGTTTCATAATACCTCTCCTACACATTCTGCTTAATTTAAGTGATAACTTACTATGATCTAAACACTTATAAAAGCTAAGTCATTTGAATGTGAAATTTGTCGGAAATTTACCGGCACTCTTCCAAACTATCTCTTCACAAAATGTTTGTACCAAGCTCTGTAGCGCTAGCACGTTAGAATGGGCACAATGCACACACAAGCATGCACATAATGCCGGTGGACAAGCATATAATTCTTTGGTTGCTATAGGTGTAGTTCCTTTAGCAACACAGCAAAATACTGAATTTCATGTGACTGACTACAGGCCTATCAAGATACAGAATCTGTTGGTGAAATGTTAGATAGCTGACGATGTGCAATGTCTATCCCGTGCAATAATAAAAGTGATTCTCTTTTCATTAGGACTACTGGTAGTTGGGAATATCTCTTGATGATTAAGCATACCATCTGACGTAAGCATTATCATTACCTCAACAAAGTTCCATCTTCTCTCTGGGTTAAGTTTCCTGAGCTCCTCCAGACCTGCCCGTCCTGTTAGTCTGTCTGGGACATCATAGCTACACACAAATCACAATCAACAGACATCAAAAGGAAGCCACAAAACAATGCACTGTACTTTTGGGGCTGGGGAAGGGTGTTACCCATTTGCCCCTCTTTCAGAAAAACTATGAAATGATTCAGTGTTTGTTCACCTTCTAGGACTGTGTTATTTCTTAGTAATTTCATTATTTTCAAACTTCAAGTTAAAAACAGTAACATTGAAATGTGCCACATAAGGCATCCCTGTTATCTATACCTGTGCATATACATTATACTGTGTATTAATAAGGGAATACAAATGTGCGTGGCCAGTCTTAAAAGTGTGTTTAAGACCAGCTCAGAAAAA